AATAAACACTGTTTAAATCTGGTCTGTTTGATTTTCATTTATTGTATAGAATTTGTAGAACATTGTATGACTAATAGAGTACTGATATTACTGATATAACATCAACTCCATACTTGATAATAATTCTATCATTTCATAACAAAGGACTGAATTCTCTTAGTGATTTGATACCATATTTTGTATCCAATTTACCTCCAACTTTCAAGCAACCAATTGGGTCACCAAGACAACAAACTGCAGTTGGAAATGTGGAAAATTTAGCTGGGTGGGCAGCATTAGTATTATTGTGTTAAAAAAATTATATGAATGGATTTTTACGTCCTACCTTTCTTGGGCTCAGAAAGACCACATCATGCATGAGGTTCTATAGCACAGTCGGTTAGAACATTGGTTCTTAACATTTCATTTTGCTTGGTTACTTCGAGCATAAGGCGGCTGTGGGTTCAATTCTCGATCGGCATGTGATAGTCTGATGACCTTGAATAAGTTATCTTCACTCATAATTCCAGTTGACCCAGTTGTAAAAGGGTACATATAATAAGATCAATGCCAAAGCTGGTAGAAAGGATCCTTAACTGTGAACCTAAGTTGTTATCCTTGTATCCTTTCTTTTATCTTTTTGCATTGGGCAATAAGGGAAATTTTGTCAAGTCCTCAGCATTAATACTATCATATTAAACAAGCATACAATGTTATTATTGTAATAAATCATGTTTGACGATATTTAAGATTTGGATTTGGGAATTAATTTCTTTTCTCTCTCCATCCATGTTTTGTAAATTTATCTGAATAATGGCTGAATTTCAAGCATTTTAAAACGATAAACCAGAGAATCACCAAGCGATTAAGGTGACTTAACTAAATGTCAAAATAAGACACAAGAAAATCATTCTCTTTTTCTCAATTTTCGCGTGTAACCATAGAAACTGTCGTCATGATAAAGTAGTATATATCTAACCACTCATTAGGGACTCGAGTTTATCCCTTTCTTTTCCCTCCGTTCTGTACACTGTCACCATTATTATTCCCAAAGATTTCCCGTGATACTCACGTTTTATCAATAATTCTCTTAATGTTTTCTAGTCAGGGTTGAAAGGAATTTATAAATATTTATTTTCATTCAAAGTTACTAAATTCTTTTAGTTGTATTTGCCAGTCATGTCTGAATAAAATTTCTTAATGTCTAAAGAGGACAATATTTTGGAGCTCTTTTAGCCAGTCAGAAATGACATATATTTCTAAAGGTAGGTTTGCCCTTTCAAATATCAAATTCATCTTAGGTTTATTTTCCGGTCATGTCTGACTTAAGTCCCACAATGTCTGAAATTCAATTATAGTTTTATTCTTTGGGGTTGTTTTTTTTTTTGGATTTAAGTTCAACATATCTATGATGATATCATTTGCCAGTCATGTTTGATTGAAGCTCCTTATGTCTTGTTCTTCAGGATGCTCTCCTATTCAAAATTCAAAACTTAATTTCATCAATGCTGCATCTGTTAGACTTTAAATCAGGTTAGGTTATGAAGGAAGTTGTAATACAAGTGTTTACCTAGGTCCTTGAAGAGAAGATTTAAATGGCACAAAATCCTCAATTTTCTAAAAATTTCCTAAAGTTTGAGAAGGCAGCTGGCTCCCCCTGCCTCAACATTGTTTTCGGCAAATGATTTGCACCCAATTTAATAAAATCATAATAATGAGAGAAACTTTTAATAACTCAAAAAGTTGTAAGGAAAGCAGGTGCTTGATCTAGAAATAGAAGCATCAATTCATCAGTAATGTCAGATTGACAAACATGATAACAAAGGGGCATCAGGTGTTCCAGAAATAACCATTTGGTGGAGATCAAACTAGTTAATCATTTGGAATTTATTGACATATCAGAAGAGCTTGTCCTTAGTTATGTCATAAATCTTTACTTTGTGACCCAAGACAGTGCTATGACCTTGCATTCTCATCACCATCTGATACTAGTTGAGACTTGTCCCGATACATCTAAATACAGTTTTTACACTAAAACTCAACGCATATATTGATCAAACGTTATTTCTGCTCAATGTGGATAAATAAAGCCTTTAAAGATGGGTTTCCTTATTTTTAGTGTTAAATTAAGCAAACTTTTTGATCAATTGATGTTTCTGATGAATTATCATGTATTCTTAATCATATCATTATGTTCTTCTTGCAAGAATTTTTACCAATAACAAATGTCCAAGTATGTCCAGTCTGGATATAAACAAAAAGGCTTTTTGACCTTTCTTGATCGGTCACTCATTGGAATTCTCTTCTAATTGAGCTAATTATAAATAAATTACGGACATGTGAGACAAACTGGTATTTACCAACTCATTAGAACAATTCTACTTTCTATTCATATAAGTATTAGCATTTTCATTCTCATAAGTGAAAATAAGGGAACCCATCTTTAACCTTTCGGAACTAATTAAAGAAATTCTACCTCATTGAAGGAATATAAACTTAAATTCTTAAACTACAAGTATTTATTCAAGGTGTTTACAATTGTTTTGTTAGATTATACAGGGATTCAGTAGTTATAGATTCAGAAGTCCACTGATGAACATACACTCTTATCAAAAAATTGGCAAGTTTGAGAAATTTAATGTTCCAGAGCAAGAAAACATTTATAGTATCAATCTAGGCTAATATTTTATATTAGTCAAGTAATCTATCAAATTTCCCTACAGAAAAGGATTTAGGATAAATGAAAACGTAAGCTTTATAGACATAAATAGCTTTGTGGAATTATTGTTTCTTAAATATAGGTCGATTATTCTAAAATCTTAATAATAATACAAAATCTTCAAATATTTATATACACACGCAATATTACCATCCTTTAAATTTGATACAATTTAATGAAATATTTAAATTTGCAGAAATCTGAAGAATGAGTGATGGGTAAAAGCCCTTGAGTAGAAGTCTTTCAGAAGATCTTAATTAAAAAAAGTATTGATGTAGGTGTTGCTAATTGAAATAAAAACAAGCATGTCCACCTCAAAAAAAATTATCCGACTACTATGCTTTCCAAATATTGAAGGATTTTTATAATGCAGACCTTCGGTTTATTGCCCCAAATGATATTTTTCCTTGTTAGCTCTTTCAACCTCTGAGGCGCTGCAACTCTGTCTAAAACAGATACGTTTTTTAGGATTTTTATATAGCAGACCTTTGGTTTATTGCCCCAAATGATATTTTCCATGTTAGCTCTTTCAATCTGCATCATGAACAAAGATAAAGCATGTTGAGAAATCAAAGGGTTCAAACTATGCTAGAACTAAAACCTAGATCATCAGGTGAGCAAACGAATAAGCATATCAGTCTCGGACAGACAGAAATTGTGGTAAACAACATAGCTAAAAAATCAATCGAGTTTTATATGACATGACATCATAAACAAAGATTCCATGGGGAATAAATGATATTAAATATTAACTAGTAGATGATAATGACTAGAATTACTGATGTTTAATACTTCAAGTTGATAGTCTATTATTCCTGTCTGACACCGATCTAGATACATTAGTTCAACAAACCTAGATACAGTATTTTAACATATTTGCATACATTATCCTAATACGATAGCCTAATATAGCTAAATATCTTGGCCCAACATAGCTAAATACGTTGGCCCAACATAGCTAAATACGTTGGCCCAACATAGCTAAATACGTTGGCCCAACATAGCTAAATACGTTGGTCCAGCATAGCTAAATACGTTGGTCCAACATAGCTAAATACGTTGGCCCAACATAGATAAATATGTTGGCCCAATATAGCTAACTACGTTGGTCCAACATAGCTAAATACATTGGCCCGACATAGCTAAATACGTTAGCCCAACATAGCTATATATGTTGGCCTAACATAGCTTAATACGATAGCCTAACATAGCTACATACGTTGGCCCAACATAGCTAAATACCTTGGCCCAACATTGCTAAATATCTTGACCCAACATAGCTAAATACGTTGGCCCAATATAACTAAATACGTTGGCCCAACATAGCTATATACGTTGGCCCAACATCACTAAATACATTGGCCTAACATAGCTTAATACGATAGCCTAACATAGCTACATACGTTGGCCCAACATAGCTAAATACGTTGGCCTAACATAGCTTAATACGTTGGCCTAACATAGCTTAATAAGATAGCCTAACATAGCTAAATATGTTGACCCAACATCGCTAAATAAATTCATTAAATCAATTAATTAAACATATCTGCAGATATCAGCCCAACATATTTAGATACAAAATATGTTTTAAAAACTTTATTCCTTGTAACTTTAATTAAGATTAAAGCACATTTGCCAACTATTGAACACACCTACCAAAATCTTACTGAAACCTAATCGAATGTTCCTTTTAACACAAATTCTTTTGAATTCGTTTTTTGGATTTCTTTTATCTTTAAAAATGCTTTTAAAAGTGCTTTTAATAAATCATGACAAATTTTAAGCCAATCCCAGGAGACACTGAAACATACACAGAACTTTCATCCTGTTATAGAAGTTACGCAGATGAAAAGGACAACAACATCTTGGAGAAAAGAAAAATTTTAAGTATTTATGTTTGAAAATGTAATCAAGACTTTGAGGTAATGGTCTTCTGCAAAGTTTTGGGTCATCCAGATTGTTTCATTGAGTCTAACAATTTATCCCTCTGTAGCAAGGTGTATTATGAAAGGATCTGGCTGGATTAATCTGTGATTTTTTTTTTTTTTACATTATAGTAAGCAGTGGCTTTGGTCAAGAGTCCATCTACAAAACTATCCCATCCAAAGTCTTAGAACAATAGAGTAGGCTTATCATCTTTCAAACGAATTAGATTTCATATCCAAGCATGAGATGAGCTCTTGTTTATCACAAAGTGAGATACAGGAGTAGATAATTTGAAAAGTGGACAAAATCAAGTTTTCAATCCTTCTGTACATACAAATCAACCTCCTAAAAATACGATGAAAAAAAATGTACTCACCATTTTGTTGACGAAAGAGACAAAGCCATAGCCTTTAGATTTGAGGGTCTGTGGATCACGAATAATCTTGCAATCACTGTATAATATACAATAAAATAACATGCTTTAATTCATGAGAAATCAAAAAGATGTTTGTAAAGCTCTTAAAGTAAAAGAATGAAACAAAGTTCTACACCCTTCTCTATTCCTTTTTGCCTTCTTTAAGCATGACACTGTTGTAGGGAAGGAAAATGGGTTTTTTCTGCTCCGTATTAAGCTGATGAAGACTGACAACAATCTGCCGTGTCCAATGCACACACTATACACTTTTCATTACGAAAAAACCAAGAGGTTAAGTTATGAATAATTGTGTTAATATTAGAAAACTATAAAATCAGGAGATCAAAAGAGGGCGACATCTGACCTTTTCATGGACCAAAATGAAAATAAATCCAGAATTTTAATAAATACAGTAATCGGATTGGATAATAAAACTGAATTAAATATCAATTTTAGTGATTGACCAATCAAATGACTGATTCCATCAGTAAGTTTTCAAAAGTAAAGCCCATATTTCCATTCTAAAGATTGCTTTGGTTGAACAAAATCAACTTCCATCGGAACTATGATACATGAATACCTTCAGAACTAGGATACAAATGTTTGACTGACAAAAACAGATATAAGACAAGCTGTAAGATTTAATCAATAATAAGAATAGTGGGCCAATAATCCTGACAGTGCAACAATGTGACACAAACTGGGACATTTCCTGATATAATTTCATATTTCATTACACATAACACCACCTCCATTTTTTAATAATCTCAGAATTTTTTTTTTTTCATGAAATAAAACAGAATTGAAACAAAGCCATTTGTGTAATTTCCGTTAGTCAAGAACCATTTTTTAATAATTGATCACTCATTTCAATCCTTCCTCTTGCGGAAATTTGTCATTATTCTACTAAAGTTCTATACTTCCACGTTTTTACTCAATAAAAAATGTTTTGTTTGATGTCCAACTCTTGTTATTGCCAGATTATCCAGGCCTAAAAGAATCATAATAACCAATCAATGAACTCGTGGGGAATACTTACTGTAAAGAGTTCCCTTTAACATCAAGTCAATGCCATCATTTCATTTATTTAAGTACATCTTCACAATGGTCAAGTTATTTCAAACTTTGGCTTATCCCTTGACTACAACAGCCACTGTTTTTGTGTCAAATGAAAAAGTATTTGATTGGATTGTTTGCTAAGGAATATAGCCAATCAGAGTCCATGACAGAAAAACTAATATAATGGCTTATTATTTGTAGACTACAGATTTACACACTAAGGGCCCTGATTGGCTGTATTCAGCAATTCAGCAGTGTACCATCCAATCAAATCACTGCATTTACAAACTTTCGTAATACAAGAACAGTGGCTATTGTAGTCAAGGTAATTCAAGTGTAGCTCTGGAGGTCACTTCACTAAATCTAAACCTTTTTTTTAGACTGTGGTCACAATATTAAGTTTGACAAGAAAAGAATGGACCTTAATAATGATAAAATATTTCAAGATAAAATTAGAGAAATTCAAGACGTAAAAAGCTAGAAATAAATACAAAATACTCAAAAATTTAGTACATAGACCAATTTTCGCAAAGAATAAAAGTAAAAAAATCTTTAATTCTAAATAGATTTAAACTTTAATTTTAAAAAATGTTATGCAAATCTGTAAAAATAGAAATGAAAAAAAAGAAATTGAAAAACAAAGACAAATTTTGATTATGATGCCAAAATAATAAAGTAAAATCACTCCAAATTTGTTAGAAAAATTCTAAGAGAAACAAAAAATAAGACACTTACAAAAAATACTTTGAAAATCAAGAAAACTATCAAAATTCTTAAAAAAATTGAAGAAAAAAAAAAGGAATAATTAAATTTCTTACAAGTGGCCTTAAATTGTTGAGTATTATGTAGATATTTTTGGGGGTATTTCTCCGATTTTTGACAACTGTGAATAAAAAAATAAATTTGACATTTAAGTTAAATAATAACTGAAAACATTTCTGTTTTCTTCACTTTTGGATTGATAAGAACTAAAGATATCCAATGAAAGTGACAATGACTTTGGAGATCTGCACTCAAATATGAAAAACCAAAATCAAACTTCGAAATGAAGTAGGTATCCTATGTTTCTGCCACAGATTGGTGAAGTGTGTTCATAAAAATTTTCAACTGTTCATCGTGCATTCTACTTCTCTGTTCTACTTTTCAGAACAAGTCATTAAGATGATAATTTATTTCATGGTTTGCCCTCATTTAACAATAACTTTATTAGTAACAAGGGCATAAAATGTACGATGGTGGTATATTTAATGGCTCGTCCCCACAGTTGCCCTGGCAGACGTAACAACCATGAACGAAATACATCTGTAAATTAATTACCCTACACAATATGTCTCAATAAATTCTGAATTTATCACTGATTAACAATTCTATTAATCCCCTTGGTTCATCATAAACTAAATTTATTGTCATGGATTCCGCATTTCTAGTCATTTACTTAACGGCAGGAATTCATTGTAATTACAAGCCAAATGTAGACTATTTGTCTTCCACTCCAAGACATAAAAATAAAAACAAAAAATTTATTTCCATTGTCTCGTCTCGTAGGAATTGAAATGAAAAGTCGATCAAAAACAAAATTTGACGTTATCTAAGTGTTGGATACTTTGAAACTGCACGAGGGAAATCAAACATTTATGTCTGCCGAAATCCATCGCTAAACGACTTCTCCCTTTGACTTTTGGTGTGATGAAATTTCCAGTATGAAAGTTAGTTTCAGCATTAAACAGAACTGTGGGGAATTCCTATTTATTGATTCCTTTAACTTTTGGTAATAAGTAATTTAGATAATGTTTGACTTGGTCATCCAGGACTACTTCAATAAAAACTTGGTCATCCAAGGAGGGTCAACTGAGACTAAAAATTACTTGGTCATCTTAAACTGGTAATTCCAAGACATGAATTGAAAATACAGGACAGGTCATCAAAAATCATACGAAACTACGTATGGTTCTTACATTGAAATAACACACACGAACTTAGTTCACAGCCATTTTGAATGCCTTGGCATTAAGGTGATTTCATACAACGGCCATAATTTTTTTAACAAAACCTCCAACAATATCAGATTTAAAGGCTTAGAAATGGCTTTAGGCTTTGTTGAAATATTATAATTTGAGGTAGAGGTAGGGATTCAAAATGGTTATGACCTAATTTGGTGTGTTATTTCTATGATAAATGCCTTAGTAATACAGGACTGGTTATTCAGGACTTTTATCATAAATAACTTAGATTTCCAATATTTTTGATATTTTCGAAATGCTTCTTACGTCTGGATTGTTGATTTTCAAATACAAGTAAATTTTTAACTATTCTTTTTTCATTTTAGTGGGCTTAAGAAAAATTCTCAAAAGTTCAAAAAAAAAAAAAATTCTTAATAAAATTTCAATTTAATGATGTGTCACGGAATATGACATCGTTAGCTTTTACTCCAGAGAGTTCGCAGACCAAAAAATTTTCCAACGATAATGAGATTGTCATAACGGAAAGGATTATGTTTAGACATTTTAAATCAATATTATTTCTTTCAAAGAAATCTGAACTTAAAAAAACTGGATCATATCTGTATTATGTAGCCTGTCAAATTTCTATAGTTAATTAACGCATAGGAAATGAAGCATAATTATCTTCAAATGTTTCAAACATGATGAAAGAATGCCAACATTAGCTTCTACCTCTGTTTTGAGGTTTGGATCGTTCGTATTTGGTTTATTCATTTATATAATTACATGATAACCATGTTCTATTTTCTTCTTTGATTACTTCAATAAATATAACTATAACCCTTAACCAATGCCTTCAATGACTAGTCAGTTGTGATTCTTCAATAAAAATCTGTACAAGCAAGACAATTCCATTCAGAAAAACTTCGTCCAAAGTATGGCAAAATTGAGAATAAGAGTTAAATATTAGTTTTTGGCAAAGAAAAGGCATGGTCTACTTCACTATCACGAGATACAACTGGATCAATTTATGCCTGAAGAAGGAAATCAGCATTGGTGCAACAGTCACTTGTAGCTTTAACCTAATCTTAATCCTTTTCTTTATACTGCTTGTTTTAATGATCTCTATAATAATTAGATGACTTCATCCCTTTAAGCTGATACAGCTTGTTATATTGAGCTGTAATAATAATACTAAGGTAGGATTGACAAAATGTCAATTACTTTAACTTGTGACACCTTATCGATAATAGAAACGATCGAACTTGACGCGGAGAAGAGCTAAGTAACCTGATATTTTTATTGGATTGGCCGTCTTTTAACCGTCATTAACCTATATCAATCTTTAGAAACCTGACACATTTCTTACAAATCAGATTTAGAACATCAGCATATACACGGAGAACATCAGCATATACTTTGAGAATATCAGTACATACTCAGAGAACATCAGCATATACTCGGAGAACATCAGCATATACTCGGAGAACATCAGCATATACTCGGAGAACATCAGCATATACTCGGAGAACATCGGAGAACATCAGCATATACTCGGAGAACATCAGCATATACTCGGAGAACATCAGCATATACTCGGAGAACATCAGCATATACTCGGAGAACATCAGCATATACTCGGAGAACATCAGCATATACTCGGAGAACATCAGCATATACTCGGAGAACATCAGCATATACTCAGAGAACATCGGTATATACTCAGAGAACATCGGCATATACTCAGAGAACATCGGCATATACTCGGAGAACATCAGCATATACTCAGAGAACATCAGTATATACTCAGAGAACATCAGTATATACTCGGAGAACATCAGTACATACTCGGAGAACATCAGCATATACTCGGTGAACATCCGTATATACTCAGAGAACATCGGTATATACTCAGAGAACATCAGCATATACTCAGAGAACATCGGTATATACTCAGAGAACATCAGCATATACTCGGAGAACATCAGCATATACTCGGAGAACATCAACATATACTCGGAGAACATCAGTATATACTCGGAGAACATCAGTATATACTCATAGAACATCAGTATATACTCGGAGAACATCAGCATATATTCGGAGAACATCAGTATATACTCAGAGAACATCAGTATATACTCAGAGAACATCAGCATATACTCTGTGAACATCGGCATGTACTCAGAGAACATTAGCATATACTCTGAGAACGAGCATCAGCATATACTCGGAGAACATCAGCATGTACTCTGTGAACATCGGCATGTACTCAGAGAACATTAGCATATACTCTGAGAACGAGCATCAGCATATACTCGGGGAACATTAGCATATACTCTGATAACATCAGCATATACTCTGATAACATCAGCATATACTCTGATAACATCAGCATATACTCGGAGAACATCAGTATATACTCGGAGAACATTAGCAAATACTCGGAGAACATCAGAAAACAAGAAGTATATTGTTCAGCACATACAATCAAAATTACAATTCAGAAGTATAAAAAATGGATAAGTGAAATACACCATCAAAACTGCAAGAAACAAACACAAATCAAAAAAAATCTTTTGATCTAAGTTCAATGAAAATCAATGTGTAAATGATTATGAAAGATAGATCGAAAAAGCCTTAATTATCTCCTCTAGGATACAAATTTTTAAAAAATTCAAGGACGGTTTGTACTTTTTTTTATAAAATAAAATCTATTAAGGTTATTCCCTGCAACCATAATCATAAATAAATAGGCCATGCTTTATTAAAATTTAATCTAAACATTATCCTATATATTCCAACTAGGAAGCAAGTTTTAAAAAAAAATCTTTTTTTCCCAAGAAAGTCTGCAATTTTTTGTAAAATAAAATCTATTAAGCTTCTTCCCTGCAACCAAAACTCATAACCATAACCCACGATTTATCGAAATTATTTAAACATTAGCCTATATTGCATCCAGGATAGAGTTTTAAAAAGAATTTATTTTTTAAAGACAGTCTGCACTTTTTTTGTAAAATAAAATCTAATATTCCGGCAACCAAAACTCATAAATCTCACAACTTAATTGGAAAATAATGAAATCTTAAAATATCCTCTAATCCTAAAATTGATTTTCTTGGCCAGCGAATCTCAGCTCAATCATTTTATAAACCCAGGTAATTCTTTTCCATGACTTAGAAATCATGGTGTAAAACTGATCAAATAGCGTAAGTCCTTTCGTAAGCTTGGAAGTATTACAGTCTTTAAACAGTCTTACATGGTTTTCGTTGAAGATTCTTAGATGAAATCTGACTTTAAGCTGTTCAGTATCCCAGTTGACTGGAAGCAGATTGTTAGTTCCAGATTAACCCTTATCTATCCCTGACAGCCACACCAATTCGATATTTTTTATTATGATGGATTACCATGACTGTTTCGAGTCAAACCGACAGGGAAAGTAACTCTAATTAACTTACTGATCAGAAAACAGAATTAAATATCGGCCAACAAGTGTTGTTACAAAATTAAACTCAGACAAAATAATTCAAGAAAAAGAGCGAGGAAAAAAGTTTATTATTAATTTAGCGAAGATCTTCGTCTGGATTCAATCAAGTGCATAAGGGTTAATTTAAAAGTCTACAAAATTGAGAATAATTACACAATTTGCTATAACAATTTAACTGTCAAGGTCAGTTTTTTGTCTCCTTCAACTGAGAAACTACTCAGACTATCTGAAGATACTGAGCCATGAGAATAACTGATCAGACTTGGTCTACACCCAACTACACGAATCTCCCATAGCAAGACATGTAATTATTGTTCCAGTCAGATATCTGAGACACCTGAACCTTTAATGGACTCTCTCATGCATGTGCTTTTTCTATCAATATGATACAATGTTTATGTCGTTTAGAAGAGCTCATTTTAGTAAACCAGGGAAGTCTTTCAATGCCAGTCGAATCATTTTCATCTTTACACAAGTGATGGAAAGAAATTAAAGGGCTTGGAATCAAAAGACATCCTTTCATATTCAGAAAGAAACAAAAATTGTCCTGACTGAGCAAGACGATAACTAATAACTTATTACATTTCAAACACAGAAACTTTTTAATTAAATAACATTTTAATCATTACTGGGTGAAAGAATATCTTTTTCAGTTTAAAAAATTTAAAAAAATTGGGATCAAATGAAATTTCATTCAACAGCAAGGCAAAGTGTAATGGATTTTTGACATTAAAATAACTTGCACGATTCCACATTTCATCAATTTAATTTCTGCTACAACTCAATAAATAATGCATTAAAATCAGGGAATTGGTAAATTAGAAATAGGAACAAAGTGATAAAAAGTACAACATTGTTTTAAAGTAATATTGAATAATCGGAGTTCTTTATAATAAAAACATTTCACTTTTAATCTTTTTCATATAATATTTTAATAAATTTTCTCACAGGATCAATTTTCACCCACTGCAGTGATTTCATGCTTGACACTTCTCTCTGATAATATTAAAAAGTATAAATTTCAAATAGAATGAGATGAAATAGTGTTACAACTTTCTGCACTAAAATTGGATTAATGAAACAGAGATTGCCTTGCAGTGTGCAATGGAGGAAATTTTGCCACAAGATTAGCATCAACCTCCATTTCTTCTTTTAGTTTGTAGTTGAGACATAGACACAATTCCAAGATGCATATTTTTGAATCCAAGAAGGACCACCAAAGAAGGGCCATCAAAGAAGGGCCATCAAAGAAGGACCATCACAAATTGTATAAAATGATCCCCTGGTTCTTAGTTCATCCATAATACTCCATTTTATCCATCATCAGGAGTCATCATAATTTTTATACTGTCTGCATGATATGTCTTACCAAGATGGTGATGGAGAAAGAATTAAAAGGACATAGAAGCTGAATTTAAAAAAAAAATAAAATAAGTACTTACGAAATTTCTCCAAAAATTTTGAAAGCATCTCGAAGCTGGTGGGTTTCTATATCAGGGCTCAAATCTCCAACGAAGATGTGGAAATGCTCTGAAATAAAATATGGAACTGAATTAAAAAAATAGTCACAAGTATCCTGCATTTTAACACACTGATGGGAAGAGTTGGGGAAGGGGGGATAACTTTACCTAATCTTTGTTATGTCTGGTAAGAAATGAGACATCTGTGGCTATGAGTTTTATATTCCAGTCGTCTTTGGTATGGGCACAATTTGCACATTGATTTATTTTGTTTTCTTGCCTTTATTTCTCAAAATATTTTGAGGTTACCATTTTTTTTGTGAAAGTTAATTATTAATAGTATAATTTGGAAAACTGAAACGATGAAAATATGTGTGTTTATTAATATTGATGAAGTTAAATTTCAAATTTTGAACGCTGGAGCGATCTTGAAACTAGATAGCTTATTGTATTCATCACAAAACTGGAAGATATTTAAAGGTCAAGGGTCAATCTGAGTAAATGGTTTGTAATCCCTATGATATTTGAAGAAACAAGGCAATCATTCAGAATAACATGACCATGTTTGGGCACCCTTTCATGCCTTGTTACATAACTAACATGCGATTCTGAATTAAGGACCGTGGATGCCTGAAATAGAAGGAAGAAGTAACAAAATACAAACAAGTAAGAGAAAAGGCATACTTCATTCCTTGCGATAATTTTGGTAGAGCCTTACTCGTTTTAATACCGTTCTCCAGCTAAGATGGAAGGTCACACCTCAATTTTACCTGCAATAATGTCAGCCAATTTCAAAACTAAATACCATAAAATATTCTCCTACACTACATTACAGCAAATATAAACATCAGACATCCAAACTAACGTCAATGGCAACAACAGCAGAAGCTAAATGCTGTTGAGCCAAAATTTTGAAAATTGAAAGCCATCGACAGCTATCTTATTTAATCAAGTATTTCAAAGCCAAAATTTGTGAAAATAGAAAATATAAGTGAAAAAATTAAGAAAAATTCCATTCAAACCAAATGGAATTATACCCAAAAAGTATAAATAAAATATTTTTTGTTTTAAATTTTTATATCAAACTTTTTCTTGATCAAAGCCATCCTAAAACCTGGACTTTTTACTAAAGCCTGCTTGATCAAAGTGAAACAAATATACTGAGTTAAAAACCTTCCAATACTAAACGATAATATAATTTACGAAGAATAATCATCTCAATGAAAAACACTAAATTCAGCAATTCATGAATTTCAATAAAACTTCAAAATAGTCATACACGAAAAATTCTCAGTGGAAGAAGTCTCGTTTTCTACAGAATGTTCAAATATGGAGTACCATTCTCGTAAACAAAATTTGAGAAAACTTCTTAATTTGCCAAAAAAATACAAGGTGAAACATATATGGCGAAAAAAAATAATTTAACTTTTAACAGCCTAAGGGAAATTAAAAAAACCTGCATCTAAAACTTCAATATATCCAAGACGTCATTATCACACAGACCCTCAAGCATCAGCCACTATGTTTTTCACAAAAGTTAATGACAACTACAGAATTAAAGTCTGTTTTTTTAGATTTAATTTTTCTGACAATTCTAAAACTGGAACTCAAAGCAATTCAAGTCTGGATGCTAAAAGTAATGAAATCACAAAACTCATGGGAAGAAAATGTCTCCAAAATAAGACAAAATAAGGAATAAGGCAGTGGTTGCCAAGCGATTTCAGCCTTCACACCCCTGGAGCAATCACAGGAACCTTTAAAACCCCAAAAATTTGTTATATCCACATTTCCAGCTTGTGATGATGTGAGGTGCTCTCTCAACTCAAAATAAATTCTTCTCCTACACCACTTGACCCTACACCCTAGTCCCACACCCCCAGTGGGTGAAAACACCCCAGTTTAGGAACTAGTGGAATAACCAAGGATACAGTTACAGACATTAGTAACACATAAATCATGAATTTGTGAAAGTGTTTGGGACGTAACCCTAAAAACTGAATAAAAGTGATTGGATATAAGCTTACATCATAGACGAATATTTTCACTGTTAAAATAGTATTTCTATTCCTCATAGTCCAACAAATCTGGCTGTACCTGTTCATCAGAGGTTATACAGGATCGGATTAAATCCTAGGATATACCTCATAGATTATGTTGGTAAAAGTTTTATAAGAGATACTCTCTTATAGAAGCACTGGCCTAGGTCACAAATAGAGACTATGGATTTCAGCATTGGAATACATCAATTTGATGAGAGAGATTTACAAAATAAACAAAAAATTCAAAGACAGACATATTAAATACAGAAAAATTTCAAAAAATAGATAGAAATCCGAACTGAGAGTTATTTTAGCAAATATATTACTTTAGTGTGAAAAAGTAAGAAAAGCTATTAAATAACCTTTCAGACTAAAATTGAAGAAATATAATTATCATTGGAACAAGTTATTGAAGATATTTTCTGGTCTAGAAAGCCGTATTTAATGTCATCTAAAGAGTTCTGGTTCTTTAAGTTCTAATTGGAACTGAGTTTCTGTTTTTGATGGATGGAGATATTGAGTTTAAACTGCTGTAGCAGGGTATTACAAACCATAATGTATCTGTCTTAAAGGAAAATGTTTCACATTTGGTCGTGATTTGAAGGTGACATAAAAACTGTTGCAACTGACCCTTCTGTTACTAGGGGATTATCACTAAACACTGTAGCAAATTTCACAGAAAACATGATGTGCAATGAGGGAAATTTATCCCTAATCTACTCTTTTTCCATTCCTAACTGTCAAGGGATCTCTTAAGTGCATAGCCTATAGAACAGTTTAAAAATTCAAAAATATATTTTGGCTTATGGTTATTCAAGCACACTGAAATTTGAGGCTTGCAGCTGTAAATCAAAAAGCCTAGCATCAATTCATTAGTTTGAAAATATTGGCATTAGTTTAAGTGAAGTTATATCTCTTCCAGATCAGTGCCATTCAATAATTTTTTACCTTGCAATTCTCTAAAAGAATTCTTTCTTCACTAGGGAATTGGTAAATTGATGATAAAATGAGGGGCTGATGGGTTTGAACGTATTTGACATGGATGATTTCAGTATAAAAAAGGAAGGCATTAGAGAAACCAAACCTATGATATGGTCCCAAAAGACATTATAACTCAATTTATCTGCAATTATCATATTATTCAAATTGGTGCAACGCTTAAAAAAATACAATATAATGCTGATTGAAACTCATATTTTCCGATTCAACAACTGAATTCCCTAAGGAAGAGCCAAATACTATATTGTATGAGCATATTTTTTTCATAAGGTACATATTCCTCTAATTTTCTGTTGAATTTTTGCTTACAGCAGCATTTTAAATCTGAATACTGAGGATCACCCTACAATGACAGACCTCTATTTCCTGCTCAATTTTAGGTAATGGTTCAACAGGGTTTAGACATACAAATCCTGCAAAGAATAAATCTTATGGCTACATTGTACTCTTAATTTTCTCCTGAATTTTAGCTTATGGTACCATAAAAATTTCACATTCTTGATGGCAGTTATTAAATAAAATAGATAAAACTATATGAATGACATGTGATAGGAGGCAAAAACTTAATGATGACAGTTGACTCAAAGAATTTGACAGGTATGGGCAGTAAATTTTTAGTCCTAGCAACAAATTTCATAATTAAATAAAGAATACAGAAACTGGGGCAAAAATCTTTCATGTCTTTTTTTCCAAAACAGAGAAAACATTTTGAGGCCTACATCCCTTTAAAACAAGTCAATATATTATTTTATGAAATTATGACAGAGAAATATTGTTTTATTTTGATGAAATGCAACTCTAATTCTATAATCAATGTTAGTAATTGAAATGCAATAATTTTTGATGGATGATTTTGAACCCTTGACGATATGATAATCAAAGTTTTAAAACAATCAAGATCATTCAATCATAAATTGCAATTGTGTATGAGAATTTGATAAGAAGCAGTTATTTCTAGTAGTTACTATAACAGGGAGGTCTTCTTAATACTCAAAATATTGGCTACAAGATCTCCCTTGTTCATTAATCTGATTGGAAGATACATAGAGTAATCATTGGGATTGGTTGATATATTTGAATTTGAAGATAATTTCAGCGAATGACCAATCAGATGTTGAGATTTAGGAAGTGCATTATTCTGATAGACAGCTAAAATATTTTAGCCCTGAAATTTTAACTCTATGTATGCATGTACACCTCTGCAATTGCTAAAATGTTCGCCCAGATCCTTGCCTTGAAATGGGAACAAAAATTGGAATAAGATGCAGAAAGAAAGCAACCATGACTACAATAGACATTAAAACAGTGCTGATTGTGAGAAGAAGAAATTATGTAAATTCAACTTCACAAGATTATAAAAATATACCATCAGATCTTGTTGAAATAAATTACATATGTAACTACCTTTGAACAAAAACACCATTCCAAAATCGATCTTGATCAGAAAACACAGAGTTTGACCTTTAAAACTCCATATCAAGTCTATTTATAGTAACATGGAAATGAAAAAGAAAGAAGGTACCAGACCGAATAATTTGGATATAATACAATTTACTATTAACACGCTCAGAAAGAGAGGAAATACTGTTCTTTTTACTTTTTGATCTGGACTCTTTACCTTATTAGACCTCTCTTCATATCATAGTAGACTCATTCATCAAGAGACAATTTTCAATTATTTCATCGTGGAGAGATAAAGGAATGGTAAAGAAGCCTACAGCCTGTTTGAGAAAAATTGGAAGATTAGTAAACGCGGCAGAAACCAAACAATTCTATCTAATCATGTGATTTTTATCTCCACCTACGTTCATTAAGTCCAAGGTTTCACATGCCTTAAAGTAAAATAAGGTTTGTTCATTTAGAAACTGAGACAGCAACAGTATCCTGGAGGTTCATTGAGAAAACTCGAGAAATTAAGAATACATCTGCAAGTATATAAATGCAATGAAATTTAAATTTAACAACTTATAATTTAACATTACTAATAAATCCTTGCAATTGATAAGTCAACAAAAATGGAGTTCAGAGATATACAT